AAAAGTGCCAGGGAATTTCTAGAAGCCTGATACTCAAGTGAATCAACCAACGATTAACCAACACATTACTATAGACCGAATTTACCAACTGATAAAAAGCAAATCACATGACAAGAAAGTCCAAATTTCAAGTCAGTCAACAAAAAGGACCAATTGAGACGTAAATTAACAGCCGATCACGACAAAAGAGGTTATGAGGAGATAGAAATATATGTCATCATTCATGGAGAATTCAAATTAGTTTCTGCCATACTACAACCTGCTCTGAAGAAGTTGTCTAGAAGGATGACGAAAGGCTCTCAATGAAATTGATCAGCTCAGAGAACAAAACTAAAACAAACACCAGTGAAAGCTGTAAGCCAACCCAAGTGGTCATCCTGACAGAGTTCTAATCCAACCTTGTTGGAAGTATTTAATGCGATTTTTAGGTACTTCATACGGTTGATTTCGGTCATATAATTTTGTTGTACAGTGTTTTTTGTACTTGAGAGACTATTTATTATGCACACGTCGCCAAATTATTGTTATGTACTGGTCGAGAAATTAATAGTCCTGACGCAAGAAAGACGGAAATCAGAAGACCGCTAGGTTTGCGATGATACTTCTATTTTCCAAACACAAGGAGAATTAATCAACTTCACACAAGTGTGTGAGAGCAAAATATATATGAATGTCCGAAAGTGTGTGAGCGAATATTCAAAATGAACAAATCAATAGACAGTCTTAACATGATTGGCTAATTATAATGGAATATCGATACATATATACCTAGCAAATATAACAGACTGTCAAACAAACACACATATTATATGGATATATATCACCAAGAACAGACTGTCAAACAAAACACACATATTATATGGATATATATCACTATTGGATCTGTATAGCTGCCTATTGGCATCGTTAAGGTAATTTCGCGTTTTGATGTGTAATTATTGTTAAATATTACCACAGATTTTATGACCTATGAATGTCTTTCTGCTGTCGTTGGGGCGTTTTTCGATTGTGAGTGCCTCAATGGAGTTTTCATCAGATATACAGCAGAACGCCTGCGTTTTGAGCACAGCACGCTGGTTTGGGTCGTTGCGTAACAGGAGAAGACAAAAGACTTAGCAGTTTGATGTACACCTGTAGGGAAATTATGTTTACTTTTTATGAAAAACGTTATTTGCACAGATCTTTCGTATTGTGTTTTTTCTGTCCTTCGTATTGTGTTTCTTTGTCCTCTTTTCGCGTCTCCTATACTTTGCCTTAATACTGGTTGCTCATTTCCTCTATTTGATGTTAAATCTGTCTTTCTGCTGTTTGGTTTTTTTGGTGCCTGAATGTCTCTTTATACGCTAATGATAAATTTTGTCAGTAGTTCACACTATAGTTACACAAACTACGATTTCAGTCTTTTCGAACTAATGAAGTCAATAAATCTCCATAATATTTTCCCATAGTCTTTTCAGAGAAATATTTCATGACTGACTGACAATAAACTCAGGAGATTCTTTGTTAACAATCTCTCATTCTGTGATGCTTCTTAAAAACCCTTTTTTCTGCGATTTGGATCACTTGCGACTGTCTTTAGTCACTCGATGAACTATTCGTTTGAAGTGCACATGAAAATAAACCAATTTAATTTCATCCCTTGGGTTTTTAGTGGAGGATGTGGCTTCAGACTCGAAATTTTCAGTAGCAGTTTTATTGATTTTACTGTAGTCTCTCTTCTTTACCGCGCTTACTACTAGCAAGTATCCTAGGCGAGGTTTCGAATCACATCAGTCGATAATAGAAAGTGGAAGATGTCAGGTATTTACTGCGTTTTGGATAGGCTACACTATACTAGCCCTACTAAACGTAATATGCCCAATTAAGCCCACTTGAATAGAACAATACCTGACCTGTATGTACGCCGAACATAACGCAAATCGAAAAGACTCAGTTATTTAGGAATGTACCGTGATGAGCAGAAACGTTAAAATTATTGCGGCGGGGGGTGGGGGGTGGAAAGGATATTAGAACTTATCCGATTAGTATTGCTGCACCACGGACTGTAAGGATATGCGTATTACCAGTAGGAAGGAGGAGCGTAAAATAGCGTCTAAGCTTAGACGGATGTGTACCCGTTAAAACGAAACCATAAAACATTTAAAGTTTCTGTAGGCCGGTTGAGGGTTTATTTACTTCAGTTTGATCTGTTAATTTAAGCCCTAGGTTTATTTTGGTGTTATTGAAGTTGCACCAGAACCACATGCCTGGTTGCACAGTATTCGATCACTGAGTCACTGAAAAATTAGATTTAGAAAAAAATTCCCATTGAGAAAGCAAAAGGACCGAGAGAAGAAATATTTACTTTTCGATTAGATCCTCATCTTATTTGAGCATAATCCTGCATGGTTGAGGAAGGGACAAACAAGGTCTATTCACAGCTCTGTTTTAGCACATATTGTACATAGTAGGAATAAAGCTGATGATAGTACAAGATTTAAAGTTATTTATCGCATTCCTACTAATCTTAGTTTAGCAGCCACTTTCTTCACCTTGGCCACGTTACATGAATATACAAACCGGAATACTTCGCCCTTCTCCCCACAAAGCTTTAAAAATTATAACTGATCAAATTATTCTATTATTTTTTTGACTAAATCATCTTTAATTACATGTTGTCATTGTCCGAATCGTTTTATTTTTCTTTAGTTACATGTTACGTAATCAACTTGAGCTCTCGCTTATTCCTTAATTACTCTTCTTTTTTCTAAAATTACTCATTACGCAATCCACTTGTTGTAACCATTTCTACCCTTTAATGTTATTATAATATATTCAAGTCTAAACTAGATAAACAAATGCAAGGTATGCTAGGAAAATTTATGCTTTATAAACGTTATGTGGATGATACATTCATTATTGGAAATAATAGTAAGTCTATTGAAAACTTTGTCACTCTATTTAATCATATTCATTCAAATATCCGAGTGACTTCCGAATTCAAATTGACTAACAAACTTGGTTTCTTGGATATTTCAATGACTAGGAGAGACGACGGAACGATTAAGTAATTTATTTCTATACATGGAGTGGAAAATATCTGCACCTCATCAGCTTTGTTCCTATCCAGTATAAACGTTCCCTAGTAAAATGTTTGTTTTCAAAGACCCTCAAAATATGGTGAAGTAAAAGACAAAATAAAGTATTAAGTTTTCAAATCTACTCAATTAAATTATTTTATCCATTTTATAATTTTACTTCACTATTTACCCCCTGTTTGAAACAAACTCGCTAATATTATTAAGTTTATTATTCTTAATTCGTACTTTGAAAATTTTTGACTTTAAACGCTAACAAATTCCTCTGGTTAATTTTGCCTCAATTGTAAATCTTATTTATATTTTGAGTAAATCAGATGCAATATTGTGACAAATGCTGAAAATTCCATTCTGTATTATAAGTCTTATTTTTGGAATAAAGTAGATTATATTATTGTTAAGGGTTTACGCAGTTGAAGGGAATCTAAGATATAAGACGAGCTCGTATTATTCTGTAAATATATTTCTTCCTTCTTTATTCAAACTAATAACCTGGGTCTCTGGACTTCGTCGATGACATATGTCTGATTTCTCACAAACTCGAAGATGTGTAGGTGAAAAGAAACAATTTGGTAGAAGAAGCATCAAAGATAGGACTACAGGTGAACATAGAGGAGGCAGAGGTGGTGAAAACTCCCGGCAAACAGCAACAACAACAACAACAACAGACAACAATCAGCACAAATGGGAGAAGTTTGAAAGAAGCAACCTCCTCTACCTACCTACTTCGGAAGCATCATTTCATCCTCAGGTGGAACTGACCAGGATATCAAATCGAGGATCCGGAGAGCAAGGCAAGTTTTCATTACTCTCAAATCTGTGTGGAAATAAACAGCACTCAGCATGAAAATGAAAATAAGATGTGGATTTTCAACTCAAATGTGAAGTCAGTGCTAATTAATATACGAACCAGAGACTTGCACTGCACGTCATGAAGGCCACTTCGAACAAACTACAGACTTTCATCATCAATTGTCTTCGCTCAACACTACTCAAGAGCAGATGACCAGAAAGGATCAGTAACAGGGACCTCTGTGAGCGAACCAAACCAGGATGAACCAATCGTGCAACGAATAGGCAGGAAAAAATGGAGTTGGATTGGCCATACTCTGAGAAAACCATTAAGTGACATCACGCTCTAGGCCATCACTCGGGTGGAACCTGAATGGGAAGCGGTGAGTTGGTCGTCGGTGCGAGGGTGGGTTGACATAGAGGAGTTCATGTGAAGAGGAGATGAAAGCATGTATGCGAACTTGGAGCCAGGCGGAGAACCGAACGCAGTGGTGACGTGCGGCTGAAGCCCTATGTTTCTTTGGGAATTAAAGTAAATAATAATAATACTAATAAAGGCAACCAGTTTTATGAAAAGAATTCCCTTTTTTCTATCTTCAGCATGAACACAACCTACTTATTAGATTATTTGGCTTATGGAGTAATTCCATCACCCCTATTCAACTTCTGATATGTATTGATTAATATTTACAATTATTCTTATGATAATTGATCACTTCGCTACTATTCCCGTTTAAGAAAAGATTGTAAGTATATGCTAGTGTACGGTTAAAGGAAATGAAGTTTTCGTCAACGGGACTGCTCGCTGAACGACGTGTTAGACTGGGAGTTATTCATGGCATCCAGAATTAACTTAAATCCACTATAGGATGTTTGTTGAATGAAAGAAGCATACATATTACATTAAATATTTTCATGGTATATTCAGAACACATAAAGTAAAATATATTTTTACATTATTGAAAGTGTAGCTCAACTAAAAAGTGACAACACATATCAACAAGAATAAATAGATATTAGACGATACCAAAATCATCACAGGTATAATTATTTGAATGCATGCTTTAAATAAGCCGAGAGAAAGATCATATTACAACATCAGTTTATCCTCACTTCAGGTCTACGTAAAATTTAATCAAGTTTACATGTTTCCTCACAGGTCTCTTTTGAGGCAAATCGATTTTCATTACCACCACATCCTCCATAAACAAAGCTTTTACATTCATTAGAGCTTGGATCGTAGTAGAATGAAGGGAAATAAGCTCTGCAAAGACCAGGTTCCGGCTTCAAGAGACAAATATCTGTAAAATATATATATATATGTATATATTTAAAGAGAACATGATAAATGAAGTTAGGCGGAGTTATGTAGGAGTTATGCTTTTTATTATTTTATTCATTAAAAAATATTGAACGATTTTGATCTTCCATGTGCAGCTTTTTCAATACTGAACTTGCATCTTAACACCAGAGGTAGTTCAGCCAGCTATGAGTTATTTGAATTGCAAACGAAAGAGAGGAAAGCTAAGCGATCAAAAGCCACACAGAATTTTTTTGCATAACAGAAGTTATTTAGAACAGAGTGTTTGACACTTTGATTGGACATTGGTCAGTAATTGTGTGGTGCGTCTAGTCCTTTCTTTGGTGTAGACTGAATTCTATCAGTCAGGCTTGTAACGTGGCCACCATTCAAGATAGCTTTGACTGCAGCAGTGGGTGACGCAGGTTTAAATCTTAGAAGGGACATGAGTTCCTTCAAGGTTGCGGATGCGCCTTGATAATGAGTGCCAACTAGCACAAAATCTAGGTCCACGACTTCCTGCAGATTGTCTCCAACCATCACATATCATGAAAAGAGTGTTTGGTTTGAGCTTGATACATCTGAAATATCCACATACAGTGTGAACAGTCGTTAAACGCCAATCGAACGTTTACATACAAAGCACAGTGAGATTATCAAAATATACAACACAGTTGAACTGTATGTAGAAGTGACTATAGGATCTCTGTATAGCAACCAGAGAAATCAGTGCATTTCTATTATTATTATTATTTATTACTTCGAATGGAACACAGGGTCTCAGTGCCATGTTTCTGTTGCATTCTATTCTCTTCAGTCCCCTTCAGCTGATTTCAAGATTGCCCATAACTCTCCAGTTCATTCTAGCACAATCTGCTCCATGTGAGTTGAACAACTACACAGTGTGCGTTCAGTCATGAAAACATACTTTAATAGGCCATCCAAGTGTTGTAAAGACCATAGGAAGTGTTAGCGTTAAAGCAACCTTTAATTTAAAATTCGCCTCACATGATCTCCTCCATGTCACTCATGGACTGATTCCCAACTCGTTGACTGCTACCCATTCGGCTTCCATTTGAGTGCCTGATTCAAAGGTCTCATCACCGTGTTCCCAATTCATCTTATTTTACTTATACATATTTTCTGAGTGATAGCCTCTTGACTATTTCATTGTGAGAGTTCTTTGATTCTTGTCGTTTATGATCATCTGGTCTTCAGCAGTAGACAGCTGATGATAAAGGTTTGCAGTAGTCTCTTGGAAATGCTTTTGGTGATGTGGCTAGTCTGTGAACCCTGTACAATCACCGACTTGGCAGATTTCCTTACTATTTTCAGACTAACGATGGTCTGTCTTGCTTTTCCAATGTTAGCTGGCTTCAACATCTTCATCATCCGTGCCACCTGTAATTGAGACGATGTTTCCTAAGCAAGTGAAAGAAATGTCTTCCTTCAACTCTCTCCTGCTGATATTGATTGATGCTTGATGTTGTTGTTGTTGTTATTGTTTGGTTATCTTCATCGCTTCTGTCTTCACCATGTCTACTTGAAGTCCAGTATTCGTTGCCTACTTGTTCTGCCAAATTGTTGGTTTTTGGCTATAAGTCTTTGAGCTTGCACGACAAACTGAGATAGTCATGCAATTATCAAACTGCTGAAGAAACTTTCATGTTATTAAAACATTTTTGCATGTTAGGCAGTTATAAAATGCCAACTTATGATATGAGAACTTATATCGTTGAGTGTAATGTTTGAGAATGATTTGAACAAAGTTAGTCAAACACTTCTTCTACTCTCTTCTCTTCTTTGTTTTCAGTTCAAAAGTAATAGAAATTCAGGACTTGACGCTGATATCGACAATGGTTAACCATAATGTTTCACCGTTTTCGCTCAGATGAGTCACTGACACATCACTCACCAGTAAGATATTTATGTTATGCGGTTTTCAGATGATTACATAGGCTGTACAATTAGACGTGTTTCTCATCGGATTTCAGAACATCAACCTGCGTGGTTAAGTAAAGGACAAACAAAATTTGTTTGTAGCGCTATTCTGTCTCACTCATCTTGTGGATACAGAACACAAGATCGATGTTAACCAAGCTTTCAGAGTCATTTACCACATGCCAACAAATCTCAATTTCACCCTAAGAGTTCGACTACTAAATATTTCTGTGGCTGGCTGTTGGGATCCATACTAGCAAGCCTAATTTATGCATCCAAAAGAAGTTAGTGCAGACATTATCATTACCTTGGTCATCTAGGTTTGAATGATACTGAATTTTTGTGGAATTTTCTTAATTTTAGTTGATATTCTATTTTCTATTATATCTTTATTATTATTATTATTTAAACATATTTGATGAACAGTAATTCCATTGGAAAACCATAAGCTATATAGACGATATGAGCGTGGGTTAAATTGATCTCATGGCTCGCTTATTGACTGTGTTATGGTTTTCTATAGTCTTGGTAGACGTATGGAAGCTATTTGCATGCTAAATTGGTTGGAAGGGATAACGATTTCATTGAATTTGGTGGCTGCTGGCTTCGTTTATAGGGGCCTATTGTCACTATAGCGTCGCTATGCGTGCTACTTTTGCATATAGTAATACGTTTGACAGGTCTTGTATGCGAGATGGGTTCTATTGAGCTTGTCTATGCAGTGCTTAATTGATTGACGCGATCATTGGTCGGCGTAACAGTGCTTACCAATGTATTGCTATGTATACAAACGGTGCGAATGGTCCACCGAGGGAGAGGGCTCTCGAGTGGTTGCGCCACAGGTTGATCCTGTATGACGTTCTCGTCTCGCAAGAGGCAAGGATGCGTGTGTTTGGTTCTCCTGAAAATTACTGCCCAGTCAATGGGTGTATCGTGGTGTGAATAAACTGGTTGATCCTGCCAGTAGTCATATGCTTGTCTCAGAGATTAAGCCATGCATGTCTAAGTACACACCTTAAAACGGTGAAACCGCGAATGGCTCTTAAAGTGCGTCGGTGGTATAGCGGTTAGGACGTTTGCCGACCATGCATATGGTCCGGGGTTCGATCCCCGGCCGGCGCACTCCTTTACCTCACTGAGCCAGAAATAATCCTGGTAAAGAGGAAAGGTTGGGCATGAGGCTAGCAACCCCATCCTGTAAAAATTAAATACTGCTACAGAAACTTCAAGCCACTAGCTTGGAGCCCTATGTTCCACTGGGAACGTGGAGGAAAAATTATTATTATTATTAATTCCATTGATCTTACTTTACAAATCGATATTATTTAAAAAACACTAATACTGTTATTGACTACTATTCTAGAATATTCTATGTATACGAACATGTATGTATAATTATAGACTCAGAAGAGGAATTTATCGAAAAGGATATTCTTTGTTCAATTATTTTGTGTTTTATAGATATCTGAATGAATATTTTTGCTATAATGAATATTCATTTTAATTCATTGAAGATTTTCATTAAAAATTTAAAAGATTCAATAATGAACAAAGAATATTTTACTTTTCGAATAATTTGTCGTCAGTTCTACATTTATATGACAATAATAATTAACAAACAATCGTTGTTTCTATTGACAACCTTCAATGCTGTTCTAAATTACATTGAGTCAACAGTATCAATAGTTTAATCTTCGAAAGCGTCATTAAGTGAGAGGGAGAGAGATAATATGCATCACATATAACACTAAACTGAATGAATAGCAGCTAAGTTAAGCGAGCTGACACTTAGAATTTTTGGATTTAAAGGTTCAACAGGAGGCTGGGGTGTAGCAATAGTTCTTGGACTTGTTTCTTTTGCACATTGTGCTCCGGTCGATTTAAGCAAATCGCGAAAACCTCTCTTGTTTGGAGTGTTCGATATCTAGAGGCCTTTGGTAATTTATTTGATACGCGGTATATGATAGTGAAAAACTCTTCAATGCTGGCTTTGTGGCCTGTTTTCATGAAGTGGTCCAGTATGAGAACTGCTGATGGTTTTAACAACATCTTTATTTTACCACACTGTTAGGTAGGTGTTCCGGAGGACGAAAAATGAAGCTCCTAGAGCAACAGCTAATATAACTAGATCCACACGGAGGGCAGTTGAATTAACATATATAATTAGAGGTGGCTGGCCTACGTACTTCATCTGTCAGTTTCGCAGTCACGACCAGTTGTTTGGAGAATATGAACTGCAGCTTTTTGATATTAAACGTCCTTTTAATTCATTTGTTCAAAATGTTGGTTATTATTTCACTTCGTATATCCCCTTTGTATTGTAGTAGTATATAAATAGAGGCTTCTTTTTAATGGATACATACTCATTCACCTATCCAGTAAAGATAAACCTTGCATGTACTATCAACTCAGTAGGTAGTGACAAAGTGTTTTTGAATTTCTATGCGTCGATGTTTTCGGACTACACATCAACAAGACTCACTTCTATATCAAATAAATACCATTAATTCAACCAAAATAGTACTAAGTATTGTTATATTAAAACTGAGATCACCTCAGATTAGCCCATTCTTAGGTAAACCGGCTTTTGTTCTCTGAATGTGCTGACTAACTTGAAAACGTAGTCATATGTTAAGGAAGCTTGGTCCTCGATTGTCTCATCGTTTGATGAACAATAATTTCAATACTCGATACAATAGTCTTTTATAATAAATGTAGTACTTTTTCGATATCAAAGGTAATGATATGATCACTAAAAATTACTACTGAATAGCATCGGATAATGGAGAAAGACAATCAGAGAAGAAGCTGAGACAAAGCATAAGATCCTGAGGCATCTGTTTACTTGACAACAAGTATACACAGAGATTTAGATATTATTTTCGAGTATTGGTTTTATAGATATTTTGTTTGATTGGCTGGAGGATTTCATCATGAGCTGACATCAGTTAGAGAACCTTTTGAAAACTAATCAGGGATTACTGGACAGCTGTTTCGTCCTAGTTTGGGACTCTTTTGTCGGTATGCACCCGCTGAGTTTCGAAGTCAGGACCTTTCTGGTTACAAGGCCAGCAAGTTCGTAGACCATTAAGCTTAGCAAAGGTTGATTCATTTCACTGTCAACTTTGTTACAAACCGACAGAAGAAGAAATACACACTCACCTTTACACTCATCTTCACATGCCTTTAATGTAGGAAATCGATTCCCATTACCGCCACATCCACCATAAATGAATTTCTTGCATTCATTAGAGCTTGAATCATAATAGTATGAACGAATAGCTGCACGACAACGACCTCGTTCTGGTTTCAACAGACATACATCTGAAATGTCATTGTACACATACAAGTGTGGTAAGAAGGTGAAAAAAAAATAAATAAAATGTCAGTAAACACCAAACTTATCATGCTTTAGCCATTCTATCTATAGAAAAAGCTGGGACAACTGTATTTGTTCTGAGCGTTATTTAAAACTCCATTGCAGCGTTTATTCATAATTCACAAATAGATCTGTTAAATATCCGTAGTTATCACTGATGTTGTGTCATTTTTATTGGCTAAAGAATCCCATTAAAAATTTTAAAAGTCTGGTTAGTGGCCGAAGAATATCCCTTCCGATAACTTCTTCATCGTGATCTATGTGAATATGTTCATAATACTTAAGGAAATAGCGTTACTGACAACATCAATATTTTGGTCAATAACGAGTAGATAATATCAGCTGAATATAACGGAGACAGGACTCTGAGTGAACATAGAAGAGGAAGGCGATGAAGATAACTAACCGACAACGGCAACAATAACAAGTACCAATCACTATCAGGGGGGGGGAATTTGAAATAGGTCACCTCCTCCACTTATCTAACCAAGCAGCGTCATTTCAACTATAGGTAAAAGCACGAATAAGGATTTCAAAACCAACGAGGATTGGAAAAGCAAGATTGACTGACACTTATCATTCCTAACTGGGTTTGAAAATCTACTGCACTCAGGTCAAGAAACTGATTTTGAAAACCAATATTCAGTCGTTTGTTTCTTCCTTATGGGTCGTAACCTTGTGCTGCACGTCACCAAAAACATTTCCATAAGCCTGCTACAGACTTTTATCAAAAGCTGCCTTCTTCGCTGGTTGGATCCATACTGAAGATCAGATGAACGGAGAGAAAGAATGAGCAGTAAGGAACTCTGGGAACAAACCAACCAAGAATAATATTGATCAACAAATTAGCTGAATAAGATGAAGAAGGATAGGACAAACTCTATAGAGATTGTTGATTGACGTCGCGCTCAATTCAAGCTGTCGAGTTGCAACCGAATAGAAAGCAGCGAGTCTGGCATTCATATGAGAATGACATGGAGGAGAATGTATGAGGAGGAGGTGAAAGACTATGAACAATTGTTGCACCAGCAGAGTAGGGTGCAAACTGAAGATGTTCTGTGTAAGATCTATATTTCACATGGAACTTAAGGGAATAATAAAAGGTCACAGGTATCTGTAAATGACAATATGTATCATTATAACACTAGGCTGGATTTCGAATAAGTTAAGAAAAGTAATAAAGAATTTACCGTAAATGTATTATAGTCTATTATCGTGTAAAAGGGGGGGATTGTGACATAATTGATATAATTACTCAGAAGTGGCTTTAGAAGTAAAAATAAAAGTTGTAAATTACGTAGTACTACACGGTACAAAGGAAGAAAAGGTTAGAAATTTGATAAGCTTAAAATTGCCGTTAAGTGAGTAGAAAGGTAGATGAGTGTCCATCTAACATGTGTGAAGAGGGTGTGAAGATGTACAAAAAGAAACAAATGAGAGTGATAATAGTGAATTAATTATTAAAGTAAAAGCAAACTAAAAGTAAAGTTGAAATTTTGAAGAATTAAAATTTTTTACAAGGAACGACTAGTGAAGAGGTTAAGAACAAGGCAGAATAAGAGACTGGACAAACTTTTTCTGTATACAGAGTTCGGGGTTGCATTGACGAATTGCCAGCGCCTCCTCCATGCACAAAAGCCGAAACCTGACGCCCTTTGTACCATTCGGCCTAACCTTGTAGATGATCTTGAAAGACGACTTAGGTGGAGCTCCGTGGCTTGAGTTCACAAATTGCTCTAGGACTGAGTTAGTAACTAACTATCTTGAATTGTACTTTTGCTTACTATGCCGGCTAATGTTCAGAGATGCGTTTGGAAAGTGTGCGGTCTTAACCTCTTCACTAGTCGTTCCCTGTGAAAAATTTTAATTTTGTTTTAATTTTAAATTTACTACCTGATATCCGGCAAAAAGCTATTAAGTTTGAAACAATCATATCTGGAATTTACCTGCAGCGAGACAGTCAGATCATCAGCTTATTTAACGAAGTCGGTTTTATCCGAAAGGAGTAGGTAAGTCATGTAAGAAAAAAGAAAAGGAGAGACAGGGCAGCACTTTGAAGGAATTCAGCTTCAGTAAATAAATTGGAAGAAGATCTGCCTTCTGTTAGAGAAATAAGAATACAACCATTTAAAAATCCAGGACTAGATTCATGTTATAGAAGGCTTATTTAATAGAAGACATCCGGGTACAGAGACAACAGAAGGCAACCTGTAGTCAAGGAAGGACATATCTGATCTTTTTGTCTAAAGAGGAGACAATATTATGATGTCAGAAATTGTAATCAACTGTATTACTGCTCTAGGCATTAGCGCGTGTACAAATCCCTGATAATACAAAGCAGTGTATACAAAGAGTCTCACATTTGAAGAGGCATAGCAATATCTTCTGACAAATTAATTTTTCGTATTATTTTTCAAGATAACACCTTGGGAATTAAACAGACCTACCACATAACTTGACCACTGTACCCTTACTAATTAATTATTTTCGGTGAAAACAAAGAAATTAGGAGAAAAAAAAGAGTTACACATCTACCTTCGCATTCATTGCAGAAGTATAATTTCCAAAGAGAAATCAAGACAAATAGTATGTGAAATTTTTCTGAAAGCATAGTGATGTGAACGAATTATACTAAACAGGTTATATATATATATATATATAGACAAATATGGATTACATGAACACCTAGACGAATATACATTTGTAAACACGTATATCTTTCGTTATATAGCCAATAACCCAGTACAGTGAAGAAATGCATAGACTTCGGAGTTAGTTACATAAAATTTAATTAATTTCAACGATTTCCTCAGATATGCAGACATGAGATTGATTAGCAGTGATCAATCATTCATTTAAACTATGTGGTCATAACAACCAAATTATCAAAATTCAATTTTTTAATATAAACCTTCATGTATTTATCCAGTGAACTATTCAATATTCTTTCTAGATTCTTAGTAAAAAGGAAGTAGAGAAATATAGCAATAAATGTACACACACTTATTGGCATTATTGAACACCAGATGTTTCTAGCCTCTATTGTTTGAAGATATTTAATACACAATGACAGATGAATGAATAGAATAAAAGACGTGACTGCTGAATATAATTAAGATGATTTATAGAGTAAGTTTCTTCACAAAACAAAATCAGTCAGAGAATCATTGAAGACCAACTAGTACTGTACAGGGGTTTCATCCTCGTTTGAGACTCTCCAGCAGTTTGTATCCACAACACCACCAGAGATCGAAACCAGAACCTCAAGTTTAGGAAGTCAGCTCGTTAACCATTTAGCCACTTGGATCAGAATTCAATAACTGCACAACTTTAAGGTACTGGGTTAGATCTTTCATTGGGTCGTGGGTGTACACTGTCGAAGTGTTTAAAACTTGACTGAAAAGGGTTTTTGTTTTGTGAGGATATCTGCACCGAAATTAATCGAAATTTTCACAAAACATATTATTTTATTCTTATTACTCCATTTGGTTTCGAGTGAAACATTAGTCTTCAACAGAACATATCCACTTTGTCCTATTCTCTGAGGTACTCTTTAACTGGTCCTACAATTGTCCATAGTCTTCCATCTCCTCCTCATACAACCTCCTCCATGTCACCCTCGAACCCACTCTGAACTGGCTGTTTCCTATTCGGGTTCCAGTCAAGCGATAGGCTAGCAATCGATGTTATTTGACAGTCTCCTGAGCATGTGTTCACTTCATCTCCGTTTCCTTCAGAGTATTTGCTGGTCAACAGGTTCTTGGTTGTTCTGTTGCTGATTTTTTTTTTCTTCGGCCATCTGATCTTCAGTAGGGATTGAATCAGCGAAGTAGGCGACTGTTGATGAAAGTCTTAATTTAACATAAAATTATTTTCTCACCAGTCTCTTGTACAGTTTGGACGTTGATGTATAGTTTGAGTTGGGAAAAATACACTTCATTACATTAAACATGTGTATCCCTGTATATTTTGAAAAACAAGTCTTCTAATCAGTAAAAAAATTATCCTCTACGACTATGTTCTACACTGTAGATAAAAGAAATAAAAATGGAAATAACTATGACTTCTTCAACAAGGTGTTGTGCTATTAGATGGGTGGTGGCAGTAGGCAGGAAGCCTTGAGAAGATCTACATTTCGTACTTGTCAGTGGCATTCACCAGTTAGCAAGGCGTGTCTACAGTCTTCAAGGAACTCATATCCCTCCTGAGATTCTAACCCGTATCACCCAGTGCTGTAATCAGAGATGTTACCATTAAGCTCTTTCGACTCACGAATGACCTTCTGTAAGACCGTGTCGGATACTTTAATTGGACACTAGTTACTCACTAGTAAAATTAGTCTAGTCCGAATAGCTCTGTGGAAACGTTTCTGATTACACCACTAAATGATACGGGTTAGAATCTCAGGAGCGACATGAGATCCATCAAAATTGTAGATACTGTTTGTTGACTATTGAGTGCCAACAATTACAAAATCTAGTTCTTCTCAAGGCATGCTAACTACCTCCAACCACTTAATAACGAGAATTCAGAATGAACCGTCATGTTGGGCCACATCAGACTGTATAAACATTTGAGTAAATTGAAATTTTTAATTCAGAAAAATCTTGATCATGATTGACTAAGAAATCATTCTTATATACCTTACTGCTATCATCACCTACTCAATCACACTGATATCTCTAGAACAAGTAATACATACCACCTCTAGGAACGAGAATCAATAATGCCAGTTTTAAAATACTGATGCAAAATCTTATTGTATCAGTTTTGCAGAATAGCAGTTAACTAGTCAATAAACATGAACAGATTCAATCTCGAAGAATGGAATATTTCTATATTGAGACATAAGAAACTTTTCCTTTTTGGACGATTCATTTTCAATAGTTGTACATCCGTATTCGTATTTATTCAGGGTGAATTTACCGAAAAGACTCTTACTTCCATATCTGAGGGGATATATTTGGTATTTATATTTAACAAAGAATTCATAAGACCAATCAGATACCAGCAAATTTGTTCTAGGAAATGTATGACATAGTCTGAGGTGTAATCTTGAAGGGGATGACCAGTCCGAAATTAGCTAAAGAGGAGGCAGAAGTTGACTAATCAATGAAATTGTAAAAAAATTGACAAACCTTCGTGAAAAAATGGTAAACCGTTCATATGATATCATTATGAAAAATGCAGTGTTATCAATAAACAATAACAGGATGTTCAAGTGGTGGTTTGCAGGGATTTGATTGGTTTCAGGATTTCATCATGAACTGCCATTGGTTGGAGAACCATTGGAAAGAAAACCAGCCAGGGAGTACTGGATAGCTGTTTTGTCCTAATTTGGTACCCACTGGGGTTCAAACCGAGGATCTTCCGATAACAAGATGGGTGCGTAATGCTGAAGAGTCCAGAACTAGGACGAAACAGCCGTCTAGTAATCCCTGGTTGGTTTTCCAATACTTCTCCAACCAACGGCAGTTCATAATGAGATCCTGAAATAATAGAATGATTATAAAACAGAGGATTGTAATAATAACAATAATAATAATGATAAACTTACACAATAAAATCAAGCGAAATGACCTTCAACCGTCACTCCCGCCAGTTATTAGTCATTTTTCATACTTATTACGTCGTCTTAGTTTCTGCATCCTTCTTCTAATCTCTAATTAATCATCTTTTTCTAGAATACACTCCACATTATGTAATATATTTTCTAGAACAAATATACCAGTCTCTGATTGGTCTTGTGAATTCTTTGTTCAATATAAATACAGCTGTACAGCCTTAGAAAACAAATCTTAAGGGACGACTTTATACACTGTGATCGGAATGGATAAAACTATTTGCTGCTTCATCCTGTCTCTTATCATGAAAGCAGATGATCTTTACGGCATTGCCAAGAAAAGTTAAAGCTGAGTAGCATAAATTGCATACAAATTGTACAGATTTTATTCCTGGCATGGCCAGTTCGACCAAGTAGCTAGCCAAATGTCGGGTAGTTTGAATTGATTCGGCTCTCGTAGCTGAATTGTCAACTCGGCGCCAAACAAGCGAAACGGTCATCCGGTGTTTAGATAACTTCAAACTGGCTAGAAAACACTGCTGGTTGATATGAGTATGGCATGCAACTACTCATTCCAGTCAATTAGTAGTACATAGTTTTATTGAATTGTATAGGATTTATTTATGCCTGAGAACTAATTACCCATGGATCTATCCATTTTACTTGCACATCAAGAAATGCGAAACCGTAAATATCAATTTAGTGAACACTCAGTTAAATCTATGGATCTTTGTTCACAATTTCAGTTCTCAATACAGCACCCTAAATGTGACATATGGTGTGAATTTAAAAATGAAAATTTATCTAGATGTGACCATCATCGTTACAGATATTAGTAAAAAAAGACACCAGTGAGGTTTCACTTCTGTGTAAAATTTGAATCACATGAATGACTTTCCGTCTAGAAACTTCTTTCACACAGCATTTATCAACATGCCCAATATAATTCTTTCAGTAATATGAGGAAGTAAACTTTATGAGTTGATAAATCACATTTTCAGTTTAAAACTACTTGTGTCAATCAATCAGTAGTATATAGTGTCATGCATTTTCATTTACTTACTTGATTGCAATTTATGGTGTCAAAGATATCGTATCTTGTGATCCGAATAATTTAAGTTTCCAAAGGGAATTTTAGGGTGAAATTTCACCTCCTCAAAAGGTGTCGACTGCAAACTATGATTTTGACTTAACACATTATCAGTTCACCCAAATAACTGGACAGAATTCGAGTGATTTGAATTAAGTCAAACTGGGTACACCGATGATGAACTCGGCACTAAAAGAGTGCAACTTCAGTATGGTGTTTATATCATTTCGACTTGGCTAGCAAGTACTACCTGCTGATGTGAGTGTGGCATCCAACTACTCATCTGAAACAATAAGTAGTATATATCGTCAGGCACTTGACTGACTGACTGACTGACTGGTTTCAACATAGAACTTTGCACCAATGTGCAGCAGTTCCAGTTGCCACACTTGGATATTATAAGTCACAAGGAGTTCATGCATCTGCTCCAGCCATTATTTTTTCTTACCATCTCGAGGACCTGAACCAGGGGACAGTCTAAATCTCTATCTATATCTATATATGGCTGGCTTAAACTAACTGTCGTGGATTTGATTGACTTTGGTTTTGGTTTCACCGCCACTAACTCTCTCTTTTCCAACCTGATCAATCCTACGTAAGCTAACATCGCCCGTCGAGGAAGGCAGTTGGTAGTTAGGCAGATACACGCAGTAACACATGTTGTAACCATCTTAATCGACATAACCTCACAACCTCGTCGATTGATTTTTCATCCTTACCTAGCACTCCTACGAAACCTAATCTCAATATTATTCACCTTATTATACCACTGAACACGGGAGGCAGAACGCAGACACCAATGGTAAAAAACAACTAGTCGGACTTTTCATGTCTTATACTTTCAATGGTCATGTCTCACAGGCATGAAGGAGGACGGAGCGGACTACTGAGCAGTACACACGTCCTCTGGTCAACATTGCATATCACGTCTGCTCCAGAGATGGCATAAATTGGCATACACCAAACGAGTCTATTTTGTCCGTACTGAGAATTCGTCAGCGATCAACCCCTGGCGTTGGCTGATTCAACTTCTCAAATAAGCGAAATGGTCAACACTCTCCACCACTTTATTCCCTATTTTAATGTTGGGTGTCGATGTAGTCCAGTCAGTCTTGTAGCATCATCTTATATTTGACAGAAGGGAATCGTATGCAAAACGTTCGAAAATGGTAGCTCAAAATATTCAGAAGACTCTGCTGTATTTTGTGAGCGTCTTAACCAACGATGGAGGGCTATATCTTCTGCATATTCTAAGTCAATGAGATTATTCCTTGGTGGTAACACAAGTGAATCTCTGAGTCACTGAAGTCATTTAGAGTTAAGTCGATTAGTACATATATGATGAAATTAAAAAGAAATCGGGGTAGTGATGGACATCCCCGACGGACACCATTAGCTGTTACCACTTCACGCACTTATGAATTACTAATTGTGCTGAACAACCTACCCCATCATATACCATTATATACAATATCAGCTACATTGTAACAAAGTATTAAACAAATTAATCTATCATCGTATGACAAAAATCCCAAGAAAAAGAAACATATCTCCTTACCATCATCATCGTCACAGCAACAGATTTTCCACAATACAACCAAGCAGAATAGTTTACCAACTTGTCTCAGATCCATTAAAACACAAAGGAGTAACTTGTTCTTGATAATAAGTGAAATATGTGTGCGTGTGAAATAAATGTGCTTATATATGTATGATTTTAGCTTAACGGGTTTGACTGACAAGAATATGAAACACATAATACACTAATAATTATTGATTAAGAAATGACCAACTGTCTCATATTTGTTTGATTTGTCACGGTAATTTACAACAAATGACAATAGAATCCAGTGTGGTATTTAGTTGTGAAACCGTTTAATGACAGAATACATAATATCTCACATTGAATTGACCATTGGCACATTTTCCACGTATTGTGTTTCTTTTGTCTTCCTTTGTTGTTTCTCGAGAATTTTTGATTTTTCTTATTTGGTATTTAATCCATTGCTCTGCTATTCAGTATTCTTACAGAAGGCACCACATACAGTATTATTATTCTTGTTCTTTATTGTTCTTTTGGGTTCTGAGTGGAACATAGGGCTTCAGCAGCACGTTTCCATTTCGTCTTATTTTCTGTGATCCTCTTTAACCTGGCCGACGATTTTCCTTACACTGTCATCTTCTCCTCAAATGATCTTCTACATTTCATCCATCTCATCGTTTCCCATTCGGTATCCACTGGAGGACCTGGCATATGATGTCACCCAACAGTCTCCTCACAGTGTACCCGATCCATCTCCATTTTCTTCGGAATATCTTTTGGACAACGGGGTCTTGGGCGATTAGTTCTCAGAGTTTCTTGTTGTTGATTGTTGCTGACTGGCCATCTTATCTTCAATATGGAGACAGTGAAGGAGTGCAATGTTGACAAAACCCTGTCTCAGCCTGTTGGAATAATAATAATAGCTTTATTCCAAAAACAGTACTCATGATACAGCAAGGAATTTTCAGCATTCAGTACAATATTGCATCTAATTTACTCAAAAACGACAAAAAAAATTAAAAATACACATTACATAATAGTAATAAAACGATTGTTATAGCAGCTACGTAGCAAAATACTGTGTGCCATACGGAGAAAAATATGTATAAAGTACAAAATTGTAGTAATAATAGTAATACCAACTAAAAATAAAATAGCAGAGTAACGATTTAAACGATAGAAAGTGTGACACCATAAAATACAGAAAGATGAACGATAAAAGGGTCGATTCACTGTGCTAATTACATAGTAACTTGTAAGTTTCACGTCTAACAGAGTCTTCGTCACATAAAGTACGCGCTAAATAGGGTATTGTAGAATTTCTATACTTAGTAGTACGAGCATATATCTTTTTATATTGACTTCTCGTCCTACCTGATGAGATACAAGGGGACAGGTGTGAATAAAGGGGGTGCAGAGGGTCTGACATTATAGCCTTTGCCCATTTCGTACAGGAATTTATATGCCTCTCGACTATAGTATTAGCGAGCTCATGCAGTGGCAGACCACAAGCTCTACTCACAGCATTTAATACTCTTCGTAATATGATATAATCTTTTTTGAGAAGCCCAGGAAAGATTAATGGAGAGCAATAGAGTACAATAGGTAAAATACAGGAGTTTAAAAATTGCAAAACTAAAGGTTGGTTGATACCTGATTGTCTTAACTTTTTAATGTAGAAGGTAAGACGAAACATTTTCTTAGAGATAGATAAGATATGGGATGACCATGAAAGGTCAGAGGAAAAAACTAATCCAAGGTATTTAATGCTTGATTTGGTTTCAATTTCCGTGCCATCTATGCTACAGGGATCATGCGAGTTAACTAGTTCAAGTAAGTCACGTCGATGCTTGAAAGTAAAGTCAAGCGCCTGACATTTGGAAGGATTTAATATAAGACCATTTGACTTGGACCAGTTGTTGATGTCCAACAGAAAGCTATTAAGTTTGGAGCTGTCAGACTCGGAAGTGATAGGCAGTGATACAGTCAGATCATCTGCATATTTGACAAAGTTAGTTTCGTTTGAATGAGGTAGGTCATGTAGGAAGAAAGAAAAAAGAAAAGGAGAGAGGACAGCACCTTGTGGAACACCGGATTTTGTAAGCGAGGTAGAAGAAGATTTGCCGTTATATACAGTATACTGCATTCTATCAGAAAAATAGGAATGCAACCAACTCTTAGCCCAGGATCCTGTTTGTGTCAACGATAGCTTATTTAACAAAAGGCCCCTAGGTACAGAGTCAAAAGCAGATGTGTAGTCTAAGAAAGCACTACGAACATATTTAGCACCTTTGTCTAAACAAGAGACAACATTGTGATATAAGACAACCGCAGCATCCAAGGTACTTCTACCATGTTTGTATGCAAATTGTTTAGGATCATTAAAAGGTTTCAAAGCGGGTTCAAGACGAAGTAAAAGTAATTTTTCCATCAATTTTAAAAAGGGGGAAGTAATTGCAATAGGCCGAAATTTAATATCAGAACCAGAAGATGGTTTTGGTATAGGGATAATTTTAATGTTTTTCCATGCAAAAGGTAGAACGTTACCGGAAAAAGAGGCATTAAAAATGTTAGTAAGAGGATAACACAAAATATCAGCACAATTCCTGAGGACAATGGCAGGTATGCCGTCAGGACCAAGGCTTTGAGAAGGCTTAAGAGACCGGAGACATTTAAGCACATCAAGGGTATTAAAACCACTAAAGTTATTGTCAATATGATTTGTATCATTTGGAAGGGTATCAACAGAAGAGCGTATGAAAGATTTATTAAGAGTGTCAACATTAAGAGATGGAACAGAAATACATCGCTTACCGTTAGTAATTTCTTTGAAAAGTTTCCATAAATTAGAAGGGGTTTTACATGACAAAAATCTTTGATTATATAAAACATTTAGTCTTTTCATTTCCAGTTTTATCAACAAGTTGGAAATGCTTTTCATGATAAACAGCGAAAGTTTCTGACTCATTTGGAAGAGCTGATTGACTTAAAATTGGTTTCTAAAATCCAATTTTTGTTCTTTATGCTCGAAGTGCAGATATTTCCACAAAAATCTCATTTTGTTGAAGGTATAACTTATCTTTCTGTTTCTGGTTTTGATTTTCTCATCTGTACTGTCGCCTGTAGTTGGAAAGATGCTGAGGTAAATAACCATTTTTAAATTTCTGCCGTTGACAGTGATCAGTGTTGTTGTCGTTATCGGGTAGGTATCTTTGTCACCTCCAGCTTCTCTCTCTTTACTTGAAGTTATGTCTTCTCAGGTAGATTCTTCAGTCAGTTTGTTGGTTGTAGCCTGCAAGTCTTCGAGTTTGTGTGATATTAGACACAAATAGTTCGTGACTTTCCGGTCTTCTAGAGTCTTCTTATCGGTCCAGCGTATTCTAGTTTTCTTGCTCCCTACGCACAATGTGCTGCATGATCTGTTCCACTTCATTTGAGAGTCTTATCGGTGGTAGTAGGCAGTCATATATCATTCCTGTATTCACTTCAGAGGCTTCACTAAGTATTCTGTTTTAGATCGCCTGACACATGGAATTGTCATATAGCTGTTGAATGTGGGTTGGACCGATTCGCGTCTCTCCACTACATAATGCTGAAGTAGTTTCCAAATTACTTCACAGTCAAGGCTGTTGAAAGCCTTTTCACATTGGATGAAACTGAGTTGGAGGTTCGACTGACATTCTATACTCTGTTTGACGGTGATGCATAGAATCGCAATTCGATCAGCACATTATTTGCCTTTCCTTAATTCCAGCCTGTTCCCGCTGGAGTTCTGCATCCAATGCATCCTTTAGTCTCTCCAAATTGACGTGACTAACAAAACATTGTCAGTTACACACGTCACACATTAAATCTAACTATTTAGGAAAACCCAGTTTCACCCACTGCTCTTAGTTCTTTCAGTAAGTTTATCTAAAAATAACAAACACTTGTGCGCATTTAACCCTCAGTCATCATAATGTCAAACTGTAGAGCTCGACAGTAAGTTTAGTGAGACGGAATCTAAGTGTTTTTTCCAGCAAATTTGTACAGTGAAAAATCCTGTAGAGTTTAACAGTTTGAATTAATATCAGTAAAAAGTTTGAGCATTGTAGATTAGATCAAATAAAGCATAATTATATTTCATATATATATATATAACAATAACAAAAGTTATCATTGTGTGTAAACTATTGAAATATAGTTATACTTTATTTAACAGTTTAATTACAGCAGAACTCTGAAATGCCACGATTTACAAAATTGAAACTATTAACAATACTTTGTTATGTGAGTGAATGTATTACTTGAAGAAAAGACAGGCACTTTCTGAAAAGTTGTTCTTGTCAAGACTAGAAGTCTGTAACGTAAGAAAACATCTACAACAGAAGGAATCATATTTAAGATATGTAGATGATATTTTTATTCTATGTGAAGGAAATCAGAAGAGTGAAATTTATTTGTGAAATTCAAATCATTCCATTCTAATCTTAGCTTTATAGTAGTAAAGGAGGAAAATGATACCATTAAATTCCTAGATGTTTCTCTAATGAAAAGCACTGACGGTACAATGGAAAGATCTATATTTAGAGAGTCTTCAAGGATAGGACAGTTTTTGCATTTTAAATGCTTTATTTCTCTACAGTATGAAAAGAACCTAGTGAGAACATCATTCAATAGGGCACGGAAAATTTGTTCTAACCATATAATCGAATGTGAAATAAATACCCTGAAAGATATTTTCTCTAAGAAAGGATAACCTGAGAGCTTTATCAATAAATACTCTATAGAAATAAGCCCCAGTGAAATTATTCAAACAGTTTCAAAGAAGGCTGTACATATCAGTCAGTCATTTGAAGCACTTAAACGAAAACTCAATAAAGCTATCATGCTGCAGAATTTGATTACCTTAACACCATCAAGCGAATGCTTCAACAGTCTGTGAGGGACTGATAGTTAATCCTCGAAACTTTAAATTGTATGTATGTCAGTTTGAGTTTGTTTTTGGAAGCAAATGCATAGGTCGTACAGAAAGTCGATTGTCTACTCGCATGATGGAGCATTCGTCCAAGTGATTGAAAACAGCTGAAGTTGGAGTAACAAAAAGTTCAACAACAAATCATCTTGTGGACTATGGACATCATATTGACTCTGTTGGGTCATTCGTTATTATCAGTAGACAAACAAACTGGAAGGTGCTTGTGTTTGCGGAGGCTTGTACAATTCAAGTTTATT